GCTAAGAGATGAGTGTGTTTACTGGTAACCAAGTGCCACAAAGTAAACTTCAGATTTTCACTTTTGCAAAATTTACCAACGGTAAATGTCTTGTAGTCTAATCAGGTAAGCATTATTTTGAAAAGCTTGTGTTTTATGAACTATATAACTTGTTATTAATTTGGTGTTGAGAGATAAACGGGTTTTTTCTGGTAACGAACTGCCACGATGTATAAATTGAGATTTTTACTTTTGTGTTGAATGTGTATTAAATATATTTACCACTAATGACTAAAAAATTAATTTTCTACAAAATTCACCATCTGCACAATTCTTCTTAGTGCAAAATAAGTAGTTTTTCAAAAGAGCTGAAGAAATCTTATGTTTTTTTGAACAATAACAATATTTGTTGATAATTTTTACTTTTGCAAAAGTAAAAATCAGAAAGCAGTGCACAAACATTATAATAAACATTGCTAATGTAACTACTGTTCACATTAACAGTAGCCTTTTTCCTAAAATAAGCTTTTTAGCTATTTTGTTTATTAACCATCTTTAGTACACTGAATGGAGGAAGTCATTGTATAACCATTTTGACTACTGGTAATTTCAACACTAATTTTCACATACTGAATGGAGTAAATCCATGTTAGTCAACATGCTTGTGACTCTCCACGTGCTATTGAGTACATTGCAGTGTACTTTAGCGTTGAAGCTAATTTTTAGCATCAGATTGCTGGGTTCCAACCGACAGGCACACTTTGGCAGGCCCCGTTGAAATTTATTCAGAAATTTTGTAGTTATAACTAACTGTTCTTGACATACTGTTAATTCCCTTCTTACCCTTCCGCAGGTGGTCTCTTTCATCCTCTGAGCTCAGGTCCTTTACCAGACGCCTGGGAGCTTGAGGGCTCTGCGCAGTATCTTGGCTGTGCCTAGGACTGCACATTTCTGGACTGAGACGTCTGATGCTGTTCCTGGGATCTGTTTTAGACACTGCTCCAGTTTGAGGTTGACTGCCCCGAGGGCCCCTGCAGTCCTCGGCCCTGTAGACACAGGGTGAATCCAAGCAACCTGCGGCCTCTTTGCCGGGAGTACCGGACTCCAGAAGATGGTGTAGACCCGCTGATTTCTGCCACAATCAGTTTGGTAAATGCCAGGTCGCTGACAAATAAAACTTTTGTCATTAGGGATTTCTTTTCTTCTCAAGGATTGGATGTTTTATTTATAACAGAATCATGGACAAGTGGTTTGGGCGACTCCAGCATTATTAATGAACTTGTACCCTGGATCTGCGGCTATTTTAATGCTCCAAGGATGTCGGGCTCCGGTGGAGGTACAGTGACTGTTTTTAAAAGTTGTTTTACTTGTAAACAGTTCCCTCTGGCCTTGTTTAGTAGCTTTGAGATTAATCTATTTGAACTCGTTAGCTCTCACACTGTGCTTTGTGAGGTGGTCTATCAGCCACCAAAGTACAACAAAAACTTTTTAAATGACTTTTCTGATTTCTTGGCTGATATCATGCCAAGGTATGACTGAGTTCTCATTGTTGATTTTAATATTAATGTCTGTTGTCCTACTTCACTTATGGCTCAGTCATTTCTTAATGTTATCGATTCAGCCACCAACAAATCACTTCCCATGATGGTACCTCCAGCACTTCACTCTCTGTTCCCTATTGTCTGAGACATTCGCTGAGCACATCGTCTGTTGAGGCCTTGTCCTTGATGTATTTATGGATCTTGGATGTTTTGTCCTGGACAGTGGCTCTCACACTCACTTGTCCTCTGCCTCCTTCCTTGGGGCTCGTGTACAGTCAGAGTGCTGGATTTTCGGTGGAACACTCCATGTATGGTTAGTAGCTTCTTAGTCTTAACATCCGTGGGGTTTATCTACTCCTTTGGCCAGCTAATTATTTATTTATTTATTGTCACGCCCAGCTCAAAGGCGATGACAAAAATGGGAGAGAGACGAGCGGCTCTATAGAAACAATAATTTATTTTATGAAAAACTATGCTCTGGGAGATCTGCACAGCCAGTCAGAGAGAAGTGTGAGCCAATACTGCTCGTTCCGGCCTGGTCCGGAGGGCAATCAAGCAGACTAGTGACTAACTAGATGTCAGTATTCATCAGCTGCCGGTGTATTCAATTAACAGTCCATCTACCTGCTTCCTGAAAAGAAACAAGAAAAAAGATGTAGTGGACTATAGACACCTACTGAACAGGAGGGGATCATCACATTCCCCCACCCCATAAAAATGGAGTCCCTACAGGAACTCCAAAAGGACACAGCAATTTAAGTGAACAACTAGGTGACATTTACAATACTAACAGACTTTGCAGTCTTACCATAACCACCCATTCAGTCCCCACCTCAACAGCTCAGCCACCCTAGACACTGGAAAAGCCTATACAAAACTTGGAGAGAAGGGGAATGAAAATTAAATACATTAAATCTAAGCATATGGTGCTCTGGATAAAGCATCTGCCACAATAATATCCGAACCCCTAATATGGCGGATATCCAGGCAATAGGGCTGCAAAAACAACATCCATCGCATCAATCTCCGATTCGGACACTGCAATGAATGCAAAAATGTTACGGGGTTGTGATCAGTATGGACCACCAGATGAACATTGCCAGAATCCAGATATATTTCAAAATGCTGTAAAGCCCAAATTAGTGCCAATGTCTCTTTTTCAATGACAGAATGGTTCACTGGAAATGGTTGAATTTTTTAGAGTAGAAACTCACAGGTCGATCAACCCCCATCATCATCTTGCTGAAATAAGGCAGCACCTGCATCTACATCACTTGCATCCACATGCAGGTCAAAAGGATGATCCAGTCGTGTAGCTGCAAGAACATAGGAGGAACAGAGGACAGATTTGACATCATCAAAAGCTTTCTGACAGGAAGCTGACCAGGTGTACTTCACTTTATTCTTCAGTAAATCTGTCAATGGAGAAACTGCAGTAGAAAAGTTCTTACAAAAACTGCAGTAGTACCCCACAAGACCCAGGAACCGCTGGAGTTCTTTTTTTGTTGGTACGGGATACTGCAAAATTGCAATTACTTTGGCTTCCACTGGACACACCATCCCTTGCCCCACCACCTTACCCAGATAGGTAACAGTGGCCTTAGCAAACTCACACTTGGACAAGTTAATGGTCAGGTGTGCTTCAGCCAGTCGTTCAAACAGCTTACATATATGAGCCAGATGTTACTTCCACGTATCACTAAAGACCACCACATCATCCAAATATACGGCACACCCTTCCAACCCAGACAACCATGTTCATGAGATGCTGAAAGGTTGCCGGTGCATTTCGCAATCCGAAACTCATTACAGAGTAAGAGAACAGACAAAAGGGAGTTTGGTCTGTTATATACTGGATCTCTCTAGCTCTCTCAGACAATGGCACTTGCCAGTAACCCTTCAATAAGTCAAATTTGCTGACAAACTGAACTGATCCCACCTGATCAACACAGTCTTCCATGACTGGCAGAGGATAAGCATCAGATTTTGTAACAATGTTCACTTTCCAGTAATCTGTACAAAATCTAAAACTTTTGTTAGCCTTCTCCACCAAGAAACAAGGTGATGCCCAGCTAGATGCAGATGGTTCAGCAATACCATTATCAAGCATGTACCAAATCTCCCCCTCCATTACCTTCCGCTTCTCTTCAGATATCCTGTAAAAGCTCTGGCGAATCGGCTGTGCCTCACCTACATCGATATCATGTTGGATTAAGTGAGTTCGACTGGGCACATCATCAAACAAACAATGATGCTCATTAAACATAGCAGTCAACTCAGTGCCCCCCTCATGAGACAAATGTGCAAATAAAGAATCCAAATTCCTCAGTGCATCAGAATTTTTAAGCCTGCCAGTCAACAAACTCTCATTAGGTGGAATCACCCCATTGTTTTCAAGTGCACACAAGAAACCCACAGAACAGCTCACATAATTCCTGTTTTGGCCTCACTGCATTGACTTCCTGTATATTTTAGGACTCATTTTAAAATTTTGGTCTTGACTTTTAAGGCTTTTCATGGTGAGGCTCCCAAATATATACTGGATCTTTTAAAGCCTCTCTGTCCACCTAGGACTTTGAGATCTTCTAATCAGATGTTGGTGACGGTACCCAGAACTTATTTTAAAACCAGTGGTAATAGAGCATTTCAGGTACTGGCCCCGTAGCTGTGGAACGTTCTCTCTCTAACATTGCGCTGCTCTGATTCCACTTTGACTATGTCATTTATATACAAATTGAATAATTTGGGTCCCAACACTGGTCCCTGCAGAACCCCACAAGTTATGTTTAGTAAATCTGATTTCTGATTATCTAATTCTACAAATTGTTTCCTTTGTCCAATGTAGCTTCTAAGCTAGTTTAATATATCCCTGTAATTCCATACCTTTCCAGTTTTTTTTTTTAGTAAGATGTCATGATTGATGGTATCAAAGGTTTTTTTTGAGATCTAGAGAATACACTTGTAGAGCTTTGGAACATATCGTCACTGCTGTAGACGGAGGGATATCAGCGCCATCTTTGGGGGCCATAAACATAACCGACAAAAACAATATTCTCGCAGATTTTTTGAATCTAAGTTACTTAAAATAATTTAGCTATGGTACGAACTTGCTGCGTTATTGAATGTAATGTCCGATCACACGACTGAAACGGTAAAAAGATGGAAAATGGACTTTCATTTCACTATTTTCCTGCTGGGAAACAATGCGAGGAGGCTAAGCTATCGGAGCTAACGAAAAGAAAACGAATATCCTGGGTGTCAGCGGTTGAGACGTCCTGATATTACGTTCTCCGACTTCCCCAGATACCTACAAGTTTGCTCCAGACATTTCCATTCTGGTGAGTGTCTAAATTTGCTTTGTTGGTGTTGTGTCATAATTTTTTTTGCTATGATTTTGTCCAAGTGTACTCATGTTCAGCTTATGTTGAATTCATTTAAGTGGGTCAACCTTGTTTAGGTCGGGCTTATATTGTTTATGTAGCTTATGAGTTTTGTCAGTGGACATAGAGGTTATTCCATTATTGTGAAGTAAACTATTTAAGTTTTCTAGTGTTATCAAATTTACAGCATTAATGCTGATGTGTGTTCTGATATGTCCTCTTCAAGGCAAGCTGACCTATGAAATGGATTAGCTCAATCCTGACTGGGTTCCAGCGCTGAATCTGGGTCACTGCAAGGTAAACGCCACAACATCAGACCGACATCCGCGTCAATTAAAGAGGCGATACAGCAAGACCATGGTGGATCAGCAAGTTACTGAGACTGTTTTCATTATTTAGCCCAGAAGAGTAAAATAATGAAAACACAGTAGCAGAGGCAATAGAAGAGGAGCAAGTTGGAGAGGCTGACAAGGAAGAAACCCCAGGAGAGAAGCTCAGCAAGGCTGCACACTCTGAAGAGGAACATAAACCATTTGTGTTGAAATATGTGTACAGTTGGAAGTGGCTGTTTTCTCTCATTTAATAATTTAATGTGGTAAACATTCATGAAATGTTTGATTGAAGCACTTCAAGTTGCATGTAAACAGGTGAAGAAATGAATCACATTTTAAGTAAAAATTTGATATTTAAAGTATTTCAGGTTATAAACATACACGTAATGGAAGATTATATTTTTAAATAAATATTTTATGTGATTAAAGTAAACAATTATATAATCAGACACCTGCTTGTTACATGTAAGCAAACTGTCAGGACACTGGGTTTTTGGGTTTATTTTGCTTTATTTTGTTCATTAAAATACCATCCACATAAAGTACGTCGACTGCCTGCTGTGTTTGTGTCCACCGCCACACCACATCATGGCAAACCAGATGAAAGAGTCCATCTTTAAACATTTAATGTGTAATTAAATAATAAAGTAAATTTTATGAAATAGATCACACTTTAAGTAAATATTTGTTGTATTTAACATATTTCAGGTAAGTGAACATGTAATTAAATAGATCCTGTCCTAGAATTTTATGTAATTGAACATTACAGGTAACAAATATGATGATCGACTGAGGTAATACATTTTATGAACATTTTTTAAAAATATTTTTTAAATATAATTTTGGTTAAAAAATAAAAAAAGGGATCAAAATGGAATAAAAATATGCCTAATCTATGTGGTTTAGTAGAATAATTTCACATGGATTTTGAGTTAATAGGTCACATGACCTAGAAGCTATTGAAGAAAAATACTAAATTTTGACTACAGAAATAGCTAAAAAATATAAAGTGTGTTAAAATGTAATAAAGATGAGTGTGCCTCATCTATACAGTCTAGTAGGACAATTTCACACAGATTTTGAGTCAATGGCACATGATTTGGAAGCTAGTGAAGGAAGCATTTAATATTAAAATTATTGAAAATATTGAATATGACTTAAAATTTTAATAGAGGATAGTGTGCCTCGGTTAATAGCATGAATTACCACATTTTTCTATCAGTTGGTCACAAGACAAGGCATTTATTTACAAGAGTGTTTGGTTCGCAAATTGACGGTCCCCAATGTGAACCTCCGAGCGCTTGAGGAGGGAGCAGTAGAGAACAGCTGGCCGAAATTAGTGTTCATAAATCGGATCAACCTTGAGCTAAACGCCCCTTACTCCATGGAGCGCGGATATCCAATATCCAACTTGAAAACAACTTCGCTGTGGTCGGTAACACAAAGAAAACATAGGTGTTCTGACTAGTTTGTTTTGGTCTGTGGCCAACAAAGATGGCGCCGAGCGACTGCACAAGACGTACACATCACATGAAGTGATGTAGGTTCCAAAGCTCTATTGCGAATTTCCTTTTATCCATACTTTATTCCTGCAGGGTATCTGATTACTGGTAAGGCGTAGCTGTTTATCGCACAAATCTTGTTCTTGCCATTGAGCTGGCTTCTCAGGACTTGCCTTATTCGTTGGAGGTATTTGGCTGTGGCTCCTTTCCTTGTGACCTCATTGAGGTTGCCATTTGCTTGTGGTATTCCCAGGTACTTTTAACTGTCCTCTATCGCTGCTATTGTTTTTTCTGGGAGTGAGACCCCTTCTGTGTGGATGACCTTCACTCTCTTTATAACCATCCGACCACACTTCTCTAGTCCAAATGACATCCTATTGTCAGTGCTATAGATCCTGGTGGTGTGGATCAGTGAGTCAATCCCATCCATGCAGAGGAGGTAACTTATGGTGACCCCATTCTTGAGTCGGTATCCGTAGCCAGTCTTGTTGAAGTTCGGAGCTGTCCCATTCTTCCAAACAGCGATGGTACTCAGAAGGGGATCTCCCCCCGTTTGATCCTTCCAGCCTGCCTCACCCGGAGAGCCAGGCCGCTGCTGCTGGGACCTCTGTCCGTGGAGGGCCGGCTCCTTCGCCCAAAGAGGCGCAGGCGATTCTTCTTTGTGGCTGCGTCCTTGGCGCGCCACCTGTAGCTCTGTATGTTTTTCTTCTTGCTGCCGCCATTCGGATCACAGCCACGGGGGGCATCTGCCTGCGCCTGCTTACCAGAAAGTAAGCAGGCGCTTTCTGGCAGCAGGCGCTGCCATATGAACTGTCGCCATATGACAGTTCATATGGCGTCTTTGATGGTGGCTATGGTGACCCACATCTCAGTGAAGTCTTTTTTTTTGCTATTTTACGGTGGCTCACCGCGTGCAGTACTAGCTGTGTGTCGAAGAGTGCACGACGGCTCTGACTGGGAGGATCCCATAAGTCTGTTTGGAAGGACAGGCCCCTCTTGTTGGGGTTTTTAAAATTAACTCAAGACCTGTAAAGAATCAGACACAGGACCAAAGAGG